GTGCCGTTCTGAATGCTGACACAAACAAACCCCTCACCCATCTTTTTCTCCCTTTAAACTTCACTTTCCATCTTTAAACTCTCCTATCTGCTAGCAAATTAATCCAGATGTTTTCAGAAATGTCTGTGGTGAAGCAACGGAAAATCATGGCCGTATGGTTTTCCTGGTTGTAAAGCTGATTAATTATGTCGTTATTCTCAATTCTTGCCAATTAATGTAAATGTGTGATATGTTAAACTTGATTCTGTTAATAAATGACCGCATTCATTTTGATGGGTCAAAGATAATTAACGTCTCACGTCCACATTTTATTACATTCAATGCACGTACATTATACAGTCCAGAAAAATGAAAGAATCCGTTTTAACAGTATGAATATATCTCATCCGTATGTCATACTACAGTAGACAAATGTCTCGATGTCGTCCTCTGGCAGCCTTGGTCCTTTAAATACAGCGAGGTGGCTCTTTAGAGGAATGGACCACAGCTGAAGAGAGGAGAACTCCTCCCTGCCGCTCAGGAGCTGCAAAAAGGTGAAGTGAATACAAACAAAATGAAATGTATTTAATCTCATCAACTTTGTTTGGTTTGTTATTATTCGTACCACACCTGCAACACATTTCCAAGATGGTGATGTTGTCAAGTTTGTGCCACAGTATGATGTTGTCTGTCTTTCCTCCTGATAACAGCATCACTGTCAGAGAGAGAATCCAAACAAAAGGTGTTTCAGGTGTTGCTTTGGCTCATCTGTTGCACACCGTCAGACATGGCTGCGTGCCTGAAGGTGTGCAACGGTACAGCGTAGGTGTAATGCGTTCAGAATTCTGCACACGAGCACGGCAGGTGCACCTTCTTCTGCTGCCAGGCCCTTTGTGATGTGAGTAAGTTTAGAGAAGTGTAAATGACTTTGCTGACATTTATACAAAGTCTTAAAGGGGTAGTCTGGCCATTGTTAGTGATGCTCTGCTAAACGGTTATCGGTCGTAACACCAGCTATGGCGTATGTAAAACAGTGCAGATGTCTTCATCCAGGCTAAGCTAATGGCTAGTTAAATGATGGCCCATAAATTTTCAAGCACATAAAACAAATATATATATATATA